TATTCAGTTCCTAATAAAGGTGAAGTGATACTTGGGGAAAATTCCAAGTTCATGAATTTGCACTGTTTAATTATTTCTTTGGGTGAAAGGACACCATATGAAATAAAACTTGACCTAAATATTCAGTCCAACACAAACTACTTTATTTATTTTATTATTACTTTTTATTAAATACTTTTATTGGGGGCTCTTACAGCTCTTATCACAATCCATACATACATCCATTGGAACACAAATGACTTTGAATAAAGCCAGTGTGCACTTCCTCTCTCTCTGGCTAGCCAACGGTACTTTAAAATATACTGATTTTTTAATGGGTGAGCAGAGTGAAAAGTAGCATATGGTATAGATTCTGTATCTCAAAAACTAGAGCTAATGGGAAAACAGATGCCATTTTTAGGAATCAGCAGGTCAAACTTGACCAGAAACAAGTCTAACATTTAAGTCACCAAATGTGTGTTGGCCAGTGATAATTGTAGTTCCAGAAGGAGAGGAGTGTGAGTATGAGACAGAAGAAACACACTTGAAAGAGTAGGGGCAGATAATTTCCCAAATTGGGTTAAGAACATACATTTACAGATTCAAGAAGCTCAATGAACCCCAAACAAGATAAATTAGAAGAAATCTGTCACCAGTCACACCCTTGCAAAGTGACTAAACACCAAGCTTAAAGAAAAAAAACACTGGAAGCACTCAGAAAAAAATGTACATGCAAGGAAAAATGACTTGAAGGACCATAATTTTTAATCAGAACCCATGTAAGTCCAGAAGGTGATGAACTAGCTTTAGCATGCTGAAAGGAAAACAACAACAAAACAAAAACACCCTATGTTGACCTAGAATTCTACCTACAAGAATAATATCCTTGAAGAATTTAAGGTGAACTGGACCCGAGTTCCCAGGGAAGATAATTTGTCACTACCAGAATTCTGTGGTTGTTTGGTGCCACCGAGCCTGTTCCGACTCACGCCAAACGTATGCCGGCAGAGTGAAACACTGCCTGGCCCTGGGGCAGCCTCACTATTGTTCCTACGCTTAAACTCATTGGTGCAGCCACTGTGTCAATCATCTCGCTGAGGGACTTCCTCTCTTTTCCTGCCCCTCCACTTTACCAAGCACTTTACTAGGTATTAATCTCTCCTAGAATCCTGCTATATGAAATACTGACGTTTTTCAAGATAAAGGCAATGAAACCAAAGGAAAGCTTAGATTTTTCAGGAATGAAAGATATCAAAATTAGTAAATATAAAAGACTTTGCCTATGCATTTATTTAAAATGCACATGATTATTTTAGGCAAAGTTTGTCTTGTGGAGTTTTAAAAAAATGTAATCTTTATTTTTTAAATAAAATTTTATTGTGGTAAAATATATAACAAACATTGACTATTTAAAAAAATCATTTTATTAGGGGCTCATACAACTCTTATCATAATCCATACACACATCAATTGTGTAAAACTCATTTGTACATTCATTGCCCACAACATTGATTATTTTTACATGTAAAACTTAGTGATATTGATTATATTCATCATGTTATACAGCCTCTTGTGGCATTTTAATGAATATAGGTTTAATGTATGTTTATGATAACTATAACATAATAGATAATGTATGTGTGTGTATGTAAATAGACCTAAACAGTTGTAAGGTTTCCATATTTTACCTGAGCTGTAAAAAATTAAATAGAATGTATATATGGGAATTATATATCCAAGTGTATGTAGACCTTATAAACAAATATATATACACTTTAAAGTACATTTAAAAAAATCTTTTGATTTCATGTTTTATGTGATTAAATGGGCTCAGAAATCTGAAGATTTAATGATACAAAATGTAATCTCTAGAAAACCCAAAACTAAACCCATTACCACCAAACGGATTCTGACTCATAGTGACCCTATAAAGGATTTCAGGGGCTATAAATCTTTGTGGGAGCAAATAGCTCTTTGTTTCTCCTGAAGAGTAGTGTTGGGTTTGAATCACCTACTGTGTGATTAGCAGTCCAACGGCTTACCTGACAGCACCAAAGTAAATGGAATTCTAAAACATGTAACGATTCTTTTTGTGTGTGTTTGTTTTATGAAGATTTATTTGTGTTAGTTATGTGAAAATCTTATTCCATGGGTATCCATCCAGCTAGCTTTCAGCAGGAACCGGCATGGTTGATTCATGTAACGATTCTAAAATAAAGTGGGAAAGTGGAGGACAGATGAACAAAAAATAGTAAGGCCAAACAAAAATTAAAATGGCATGCCTAAATCTAATAAAATCAATAATTACTGTAAATATAAATGGAATATATACTCCAAACAAAGGGCAGAGGCTATTAGAATGGTAAAAAGCAAGACACAATTAAATGGTGTCCACAAAAGATACACTC